TGGAAGAGCTTGTAGGTTTTCGCTCGTGCCTGCGACTGTGCATACTCGAGCTCGTGTGACGTCACGTCGACAGCGCTGAAGCCACGCTCGAGGCCATGCATGAGAAGCCGACCGACGCTGCGCCCGAACGCAGTCGTCTGCTCGTGAACGACAAACTCGTCGACGCGCATCCACGCGCAGAACGCGACCTCGTGCTTGCACGGCGCGAGGTCAAAGGTCAGCGGCGAGAGGCGGCATACGGCGTAGATGTCCGATCGGCCGAACGCGTTCGGGTGATCATGAAGTTGACGAAAGGCAATCACCGACTTGAAATCTGGCGGGAGGAGTTGTCATTACGAGTCGTTATTATTATAATAATACAGATACTAATTATAATTTATGATTATATATATTTTAATTATCGTGGTATTAGTATACTAATACTATCAGTTATAACTGTCAGCGTGTAAGAGCAGTAGGTGAGTGTGTGCATGCAAGAATGATAATTGCTCATTTTTTGAAATGACACTTATCAGTCTTCGCGCCTTATACTGCATGTGAAGTATGCGGAACGCACACGTAGTGACGTACATTCAAGCACGTCTAGACGTTGGCTTTTTAATCGCGTAAATTGGAAGCCTAGTCCAAATTCCTTGTCTCAACACATGAGCAGTTATTGACAGGTCAACAAGAACAAATGTAAATAACACGGCAGACGCACAGCGCCACAATTAAAAAAATCTTTGTTTGCCCTCACCTGACCCAGACTGAAACGTTTGGGTAGGTACGTATAGGCTTCTTCTTTTTAAGGGGTCTTTTTTCAAATTCAGCATGGTGTCTACATGCTCGGGTGTGCTTGTGTGGAGATACCTTTTATGTTGAATGTTTCTTTTGCTTGGTACATATGTATTGCCTACAGATTTATATAATGTACAGTGATACAATTTGTAAAAAAAAAAGAATGGGAAAGATCAATAACATTTTTTGAGTCGGCCCCTTTTTGGCGGGTCGGTCGGGTGAGAATAAACAAACAATATTTTTTATTATAGCCCAGCTTACCTGAACGGACACCCGTCTCTTCCTGCACCTCTCTCACAGACGTCACCTCGATATCTTCACCAAGATTTGACAGCCCTCCTGGTACTTTCAAAATATTTGGCTTAAATCAAAAGAACGTTACTATTATATATATGGGAGTGAGCATTGAGATTAGACATGTGGCTACAAGCAATGTGCCTATAGTTTGTCAGGGAAGAGAATACTTGCGCTATTACGTATTACATGTTTCACCATTTCATCAACAAGTGCTGCACTCAGATAGTAACTTGCTGCTGTTAATACTACAACTACAACCATATGTAATAATATTGACACTACTGCTGCTCATAGGGTCTATGTCCCCCAGGGTACTGCCGGAACGTACCCTGGGTACGGTCCGGTATACCCGGAACGTACCGCTGGTAAACTATCTGATATGGTGTAGGGCTTAGAGTTAAGTGTTAGGGTTAGGGTTAGGATTAGGGTTATGGCAGTAGGCGTAGCGACTTCCTAGACTGGCGTTAGTGGAGTAGGCGTAGGCACGACTCCCTAGACTCGTTAGTGGAGTAGGCGTTGAGCGACTCCGGCTAGACTCGTTTATGTGAGTAGGCGAGGTATGCGCCGGCATATTAAATCAGTACCTAGGGTACGGTTCGCGGTATACGGTTAATTGCTATATGCGTATGGCGCAAACAATAAGCACTGACCAAGTTGCCTCTTGCATTACCACTGCTTAACCCTACTCCCACTCCACCTGGTGACGTCTTTTTGAACCATGGCCCGATATGCTGAATACTATTTGAGACCGACACACGTCTTGTTGATAGAAGCAGCAGAGAGAATTACAAGGTATTAACGCTGGCTGATCTGACTTTGACCGATGGGTAATAAATATTCCAAAGCTGATTTGAGTTTCGAGTTTATTTCAATTACATTATACATTCAGAAATAAAATGATATACATTATGATGTTCAGCAGCAGGGCTATAGCTAGCCAACTAGCAAAGGGGTAGTTTGCTATATGTCAACTAAATTTGCAATATGCAATATGCAAAATATTTGCAATAATGTTAGGGTTCGCATGCTGCAGACAATTAATATAGATACTATTTCATGGTCAATGGCCAATTTGCGAATTTCCTGCTGTCAACTGCATAGTTCACAAACCTGTGTGTGGCTTTGCAACCCGCCCCCCAAAAAAAAGCCAAAAAGGGTTAGCTATGCACCTGGGGCCAACAGGGGCCTGGCACCAGGCCACCAGACACCAGGGGCCCGTTGTTAGAAACAAAAAAAAAATTGTCTTAACATTAGTCTAACATTAATTGTTTCCTCGATAATCCGTCGACAGAGAAACCGCTGCCGAAGTTGCTGAATGGAAAATCTTCCTCAGCACATTTCTGAGGAATGCATGATTTCCTCATAACAATGGAGAAACAGAAGCGCTGTCCACGCGTCTACAGAGAGAATGTTAGTGTTAAGACTAAATGATTAAGACGTAATATTTGTTATTCTGAGCAACGGGCCCCAAGCACCAGGCACCCTGATCGTGCTACATACCGAGTGCTTATCCTTACATGACCAGTAGCTCTCGTTGTCTTTTCATCAGAACACAGACCTAAAATACAACTTGTCAATCGACTAGTTTATACCCGTTTTCATATGATAGGATGACGTGAACAATGACTGGCTATACTCGCAAAAAAGATCACGTAGTGATTAGTACTTCTAGGGTTTTTTAATTTTAAATACACAGAACAAGCCACAACACAGTGAATACCCAAGGTTAGGCATTTCAGGCTGAAAATGAGAAATAACATCCAGATATGAAGATGAGGCTTGTCATATTATTAACAACCACAGACTTGAAATGGTAAAAGAATTTAGAGCATGGTGGGTGGTCATTTGGTATTTATATATTTAAAATCAATTGCCACAAAGAACAAAGTACACAGTGCTCGATGCTTGCCTACCAACTACACTAGGATATTTATTCCTACGTGCAGAGCGTTTCTCCTCAAGGAATTCTCAGAAAGGCCATGTTACGCAATCAGGCATGCAATCTGGCAAACTGTCAATTACGAGTCAATATGCATGACATAAAACGATCCCAATACACAAATAAACCAGATCAGTTTGGAGAATGCATGACAATCAAGCTGTAAAGACCACAGCATGCCACGTGTGTCACGATTGTCAATAGTAAAAAAAACAACAGCTGGAAATTAATGCAGCCATCGATTAGGCAATTAGAGGAGTCGTCGAGGAAATTACGAGATGTCAGCAAATTAAGTTTAAACTTTGAAGGCATGTCACATCCCGACACGCACCAGCCAAAGACAGCCTGGGGAGAAACCCCTGCAATGCTATACAGGTCTTGAATGTATTTACCTGCCGCACCCAACCTGATAGTGCATAGATCGGGTAAATAGTTGCTCGGAAACCGTCCACAGGCCGACGGGACCACTGGCAAGCATTGCCGTTTTCTCCTCGCATGTGGAATTGAAACCCTGCAATGCGTGCAGCAGAGATGAATTGCCTAGGTGTACTCTGCACCTGTCAACCAAACACTTTCTAGCCATCTGCTCTCCATTTCTCCAAGAACCTACGATTGTAATTTAGATGTTATCACCTCTTTATTTACAATGGATATATTTCCTCTTTATTATCATATAATACGATAGTCGAATTGCACACATCCATATTGCAGCGTACACAAAAACGGACCATGCTTCACTATAATATACACATATAAGATAAAAATGCATTAATTATTGTTAAATGTTGTACTTTAAGAGTAGATTGTCATGCTGTCCTGAATTATATCCTCTGAAGCCTCTCCCACTGTCTGCATATGAATTCGCATGCAATGTCGATATATGCACATATTTGTATTCAGTATATTGATGTGCAGCGTGGAAGACACTTACCATGCCTACCTATAGCATTTTTGATTACTGTGTAATCACAAAGATTCTCTTCAATGGGGTATATACATACATGTGTATACATCTATAATCGGCATCATTCTCTAAACTTTTTTGGAATGAACGATGCACAATATGTACTGAACAAAATCAAATTCACATGCCGACGCACACATATATGCCTATCACAGCGCACCACAACACACGCCGACATGCATCTATAGCTCACTGGCCATTACACACACATGTCTCTTCAATCATCAACATACACCTAATACCAGTTTGTTTGCGCTTATTAGAATATACTAACAAGTAACTACAAAACAGAGATAAGACTATCTCTACATGTAGAGTGCCTGTTGATCGCCCAATAGATTCATATGAACTACAAGCAATAATATACTATCTTCACCTTTTTAGACATGTAAATCAAACAAAAATGTTCGTACAATATAAATACCTTGCAGATTAGGGAAGAGATTGTTTTTCACGAGACATGCGGATTCGTGTAGGCGCTAACGAGTATTTCCATATATATCTATACACTTTGGGCCGCGTCGATTATGTCACTATATAACCAACACGTCCACAGCTGTGCATTTATTTCATGCATAGATGCATGCGTGCTGCGGCCTATAAGAAAGAAAATTAATTCACAACATTATTGCACACCTATTTTCATAATAAATGGCCAAAGATGAATCATGTCACGGTCCACTAGTTAATTAGTTATCAGTGAGACAAGTAAATGTATGA